TTTCTGGAGTGCCTTTCTGAAAACCCCCTGCTAGGGAAGGATTAGGAATGTTACACACATACCAAAAGGGAGCACTTAGCTCTTAGCCATTTCTATTTATTTCCCAAAGATTAAACTTGCCAATGGATTCTTAATTGAGAAAGAGATTCAGTGCAAAGGGATGTAGGCATTTTTACATTTCACATGTCAGAGCAGAATATGTAACATGCCGTGCCCCATTGTGTGAAGTAGCTTCTTAAAAATGGAAAATATTTCAAACTTTGTAATTATGAATAATTCAGGAAGTTAATTCCGACATAATCTATTCTCCTCTCTTCCCCCTTCAAGGACTCCCACTGTGACATTAAGAAAAATAACCAAGGAACGGGATGATCCCTGCCTAGGAAGTAATAGTTCAATTTCATAGAACATTAGGGAATATGCTGTAATTTTCTTATAAATTCAGTTTATTTGGTCAACATTTCAAAGCCAGAGAGTGTACTCTGTACTCTACACACTGCTATTTTGTCCCCCCCCCTTTTGCACAATATCACAACTCCCCCCACTAATCCCTCTGTGAGTTTGATGCCCAGTTCAGAAATTAAGGCTTCTCTCTCCAAAGGTGGTCAAAGAGTATTATTGAATTAAGGCATAAATAAAAAGGTCACCTGCAGGTTACAATTATATATTTATTATCCAGCCCTTATGATGTGATAAACTGTTGCAGGATTATAAAAGAACCAAAGAATTTAGGAAGGTGTGTGTGGAAGGAGAGTGTAAGCAGACATGCCTGGTAGATTTCCCAAGGTTACTGTATGGAAAGTGGTTGGGAATTCTCAGCCAATGGGCTGAATGCTGGCCACAGCATCTCCCCACTTTGTCCCACCCACTCCACACAGCAAACAGGATTGATTAAAAATAAAATTGAAGCAGCTTACACTGGTGCCAGTGGAAGTTTCTAAAGCTTAATTGCCACAGTGGTTAGCCATCCACAGCACACGCATTCCAAATTTCCCCAGGCAGCAATCAAGATGGTGAGGGAAGCCTTCAATTGGCTGTAACTGGAAGCTCCCATTAACCGTGGGGTGTCATTTTCCTGGAAGGGATCACAGCTGAAAAGAGAAGGGTTGAGTCTCCCATGCACTGCAGGTGCCACCACCAAAAATCACTCCCCATGCAGTACTTAGTCTTGGGGAAAGAAAAGCTCCTACCAGCCTTAATGGTGCACTGTTTTTAAGCCTAATTGTCACAATGGGGGGCGGGGAGAATCTTTGTGGATTGCAGCTGGAAACAAAAGAGTGTCTCCATGAAGATCATACCCATATCTAGCAATTAGACTTGAAAACAGAGAGAGAATGTATGAAAAGTGTGTGTATATGCATGTGTGAGAGAAGTGCACAGTCCTATCTACTTTGTGTTAGTCCCATCACTGCTGGCATGTGGTCTCCAGAAGGTGAGCCACAAGGGGATCTGGCATTTGAGCAAAGGTTCTCCCCTCCCAATACAGAATGAAGAATGGAGGAGGACTGTGGTCATTTCTCTCACATCACAATAGGAAAGGATCGTGAACTGGAAGAAGATAGAGGAGTCTGGTCAATTTCCAATCATTCTAATTTTTAGACATTATGAGCCACAGATTTTCTTGTATTATTCTGTTGGCGACTATCTTTTCTTTCTGTTCTTGCCTGTACTGATGTAGACACGGTCACAATCAGAAACAAAAAGGTATCTGGGTTTAAATATTGGAGTTCTTTGACTCAAAGGAGGGCGGTGGACCAGTAGCGTTAGTTTTAGATTATTTAACCTGAAGATGAAATGCTACCCAGTGGGATATGGCCAAAGAAGACAGACAGAGCCACGCAATGTTAGCATAAAATAGATCATGCATATTCAAAGAATAAATAATAGGACCAAGAAGAAGGAGATGAAGCATCAGCCCAGACCAGCCATTGCCACATTACCTCGTCTCCGTGATGATGGGAATGGTCCAGAGCTGAGATGGGAAACCACCACCAGGAAGTAAGGAATCCCAGTATTGTGGCCCCTTCCTTTGGGCAAGGCGTTTTCTGGGGAAGCAGCTCTGGTTTGGGCACAGGGGTATCAGGTCCCACACAAATGCTCACCACAGGATCCTCCCCTCCTGTCTTCAGAGAAGGTCTAATCAAGACTGAGAGCAGAGACTTGTGGGTCACAGCCTAGTCACTGCTGTTACTGAATGGACTTAGGATAAATTGTTAATGTGATTGAGAATAAACAGCTCTGTAAACTGGAACTGGAACTGAAATAATAGTATTTCTTATTTCCAGTCCTAAGAATCTTAAATTCAACCTAGTTTTGAAATGTACTGGGCCTCTCCAGCATCAATATGTCCCCTTGCCCACCAGCAATATAAATGGTTGCTTAGAACCCAGGGAATTGTGTGATCCACACTCATGTTTCTTAAAAATGGATTAGTTGTAAATATTAAAATATGATCTCGCAAGACATCTCGGATATAATTTTTGATCAAAATATTTAAATGTTCTACAGAAGATAAGTCAATAGCTATAAGAAAAGTGGTTTGATATGGTTGAACTTCACTGTCAGCTTCATGCATTTGAACTCTCAAATCTTTCTGCTTCACAGTGGCCTTCTAAAAAGAAGAAAAGGAATTGCATTCAAAAATTGACTTTGGGGGATCCCAATGATAAAATTAAAAGAACAGTGGGGAATCTGGTACAACTCCAATTTCCACAGTCAAGTAAGTACTGTGTGGAGTTTAAAGGATATGAAATGCATCCACAACACTTTGAGACTTGTCCTTTTTAGTTTTTCTTCTTTTAATCTTCTTTGCCTTCCCCCATTCCCAGCAGGGGTTTTTCCTACTATGCCACCACCTACAAGGATACCAGCTGTGAGCTCTTTTACTTCATAGGATATTAACACTTTCTATTGGCTCTGAATATGCAATGAGGTTTATTGATGTAGCTTGGAGTTTCCAAAGGAACTATGCAGTCAAAATTCTCTTGTTTCGGTTTCAGCAGCATGTTCAAAAGAAAACTCAAGCAAGGATATCCATACTCAGGTGGGAAAGATATGTTTAACACTCTGCTAACAATAGTTCCATTCCAGTTTTCTGAGTTGTCATGTGTTTCTTCAGACTGATTTGTGGTGTGCTGTTGTTGTTGTTTTAAACTGTCAGGTGTGCACTGGCAAAGCTCTGCTGAGGCTCCTGAACAAAAGACTACTATGCCTTTAATTAAAAGCTTCCTCCTTGCCATTCCCTTTATTGTTTCCTGTTCAGCATGAGTAGCGGATAAATGATGTATTTCCATTTAACTGCTCAGTTTATTTGAACAATTAGTGGGGAATTAATAATTTATGCCCCCAGTCATGCTGGTTTTAATTACTGCATTCTTTTTGTTCCTTTTTCTTAATTTTCTTTAATAGAACCAGTCATTAAAGTCTCGTGCCCTGCAGAGAACTGAATACTAATTAAAGGGTAATTCATCACTACTCTACCTTCAAGTGTCCTGCTTGCACAAAACCTGTGGATGTAAATACAAACATGCATAGTCTTCTGTATGGACAGATCCCTTCATGGAAGAGACATGTCTTGCACTGGGGAGCTTATGCATATTCAGCTGTCTGCAACAGAACACTTGGACATGTGGAGGTTGGGGTGGGTGAGGACCAAATTCTCAGTAAGACTATAGACTTCAGTTCCTTTTGACAATGTTACAGCTTTTCATGCTACACGAGTTACAAATCATGATGGCTACTCCTTGCTTGTTAGGTCTACAAAGCAACTGAAGGAGTCAAACTCAAATTGCAACCAACATTTTCAAATTAAGGCAGTTTTTTATTTGCATTGTTATTTATCTTTTCTTTGTGCACAGCTAAGTGTACGGCTCAATTAAACTGGGAGGGAAACAAACCACTCTAAAGCTTCTTGAAAGAAAGAAAGAAAGAAAGAAAGAAAGAAAGAAAGAAAGAAAGAAAGAGAAGAGAGAAGAGTTAAGTTTTGCCAACACTTTTCTTGTTATTTCCATATTTACTACTAGATGATAATTCTGGCTTCAGTGAAGACAGCACTTTGCATGATTTAAAAATTACAATGACACAGAAGATATAGATGTGTTGGAGGACTGATATATTCTATTCTGCTACTCAAGCTAAGGAATAAGTTGCATTTTGTTGTTTGAAATGACACACTGGCAGCATCCTGACAGAACACAAAACGGATTGAAAAAGATGTTTATTGCTACTCTAAAATGACACGACTATATCCTATAGAATGTAAAAAAATCCACCAGCCACAATTTAATCCCAGTTTCAAATAGTGTAGGCTCACTTCAAATTTTGTTCTGGAATATTTTATGAACACTGTTTTCACATTTCTTACTTAATATTCCAAAATTGGATTTGCACATTTGTGGAAAGCATCTCTCCACAGATGAGAAACGAAGGCTCCATTTTAGATGTCATCAGATGGGTACCTCCTATTTTTCTGCAAAAAGTGAAGTGGTTCTAACATCACATGTTTACTCCAAAGGAAATCCCACTACATTGAATAGGGCTTACACTTTAGTGTTTAGGACTGCAGCCTTAATCACAATGTGGGCCAGAAAAGAATTTTAGAGGGAAGTTTGTAAATATGGGTAACATATTTCATTTCCAACCAAGTACTATGAGAGCAATACAGGAGAGGTTTGAAGTTGGTTTCATGGGGAACAGTTGCCCAGATACCAAGGAAAGCTGTGAACAGGAAGGGTTTAGTATCCATGTGTCCCTTTTGCAACACTCCATTTCACATTCCCAACAGTTCATGCATGGATTTTGCCTCATGGTGGGTTGGGAGGCAGGGAGGGGTCATTAGCAAATTATATCTACTGAGATATGTTTAAGTTCATTTTTTTACCAAAAATGTGGTTAAAACCAACTTCATAAATTGGTTCCATCCACTGGACAACCTGGCAGCTTTAATTCATTTAGAGACAATTTCAAATCAGTATGTTCACCTTTGCTAGCAACAGACTTACCCTCACTTGACCAACAAATGCATTGGCTTCCTCTTCTAGTACTGTAAGGTTCTTAGGCAGAAAAGGGTCAAAGACTGGCCCATTGTCATTTACATCTGTTACAACCACATTCACTGTAGCAGTTGATGTCTGCAAGAAAAAGGAAATAAAATTATGAAGCAGATGTTTTCACCTTACAGGAGGATACTTAGTGCTTATTATTGAAATTTGTATTCCACCATTCACCATAAGGGTAACATCCATAAGAATATAAGCAAATTAGAAACCATACAAAACACTAAACTATCTAAATCCATTATAAAAATGAATGCTACAGAGTTGGATTATCACAATTACATCATACCTGGTGATACTTAGAAGGTACTGCGTTAGTAGGGTAGGAGAGATTATACATTTACACACACACACACACACACACACACACACATCCAAAGTGTGCACTGTAGATTATTTTTTACAGTATCAAAGGGGTGCATCGGTTGTCGGATGTGTCCCAGGCTTTTTAGACCTGTCTACCCGTGTACTATCTGAAACCAAAGGGGCGTGTTGGTTGCCAGATGAGATTTCCCTCCCAGCTCTCCTACCCAACTGCAGTGGCAGAAGACAAGACTCAAAAACTGTTTTGTGGATAAATTATGTAGTCATTTAAAAGTTCAACAAAGGCTGTAATTGTGCATGTGCAAGTAAAATATCCCAGCAACAGAGCAACTGGATGAACATGAGCTTCCCCCCACCCCCAAGGGAAGAAGACAATAAACAGGATGCTTTTGCAATGTGCTACTGCTATTGAAATGTAAAATGTATGGATTTAAATAGAGTCTGAGTCACAGAAAAGAAATTACCTGAAAACTGGGAGGGGAAATTTTAGGCAAAGCCTAAAACGTTCAGCTATGAGAGTATAAAAGAAACTATGAATATACAGCACCTTTGTCTACATACACTGATAGCCTTGTATAAATGATACCCTGATCAAGCAAGGAAGATCTGCCATGCATAAGGTTTCCAAACATGCACACTTGAATGCGTATCTACATCTGCACCACAGTGCTCATTTGGACCCCACTGAATGAACTGGATCATCTTTTGAAGTAACGATGGGGATCTGCATTCCCTTTCAGAGCCATTAGCTAATTAAAAAATGCCTGCTTCTTGGGAGAAAAGCGACGACAAACCTAGACAGCATCTTAAAAACCAGAGACATCACCTTGCCAACAAAGGTTTGTATAGTTAAAGCTATGGTTTTCCCGGTAGTGATGTATGGAAGTGAGAGCTGGACTATAAGGAAGGCTGATCACCAAAGAATTGATGCTTTTGAATTATGGTGCTGGCGGAGACTCTTGAGAGTCCCATGGACTGCAAGAAGATCAAACCTATCCATTCTGAAGGAAATCAGCCCTGAGTGCTCACTGGAAAGACAGATCGTGAAGCTGAGGCTCCAATACTTTGGCCACCTCATGAGAAGAGAATACTCCCTGGAAAAGACCCTGGTGTTGGGAAAGATGGAGGGCACAAGGAAAAGGGGATGACAGAGGACGAGATGGTTGGACAATGTTCTTGAAACTACCAACATGAATTTGACGAAACTGCGGGAGGCAGTGGAAAACAGGAGTGCTTGGAGTGCTCTGGTCCATGGGGTCACAAAGAGTCAGACACGACTAAATGACTAAACAACTAAACAACAACAACAGACAGTCCTACTATACCATTACCCCAAACTCCAAGTGATATGAGATTCCAGGGGGTTCAAGAAAGGGAATATCCTGAATTTGCACACTTGGATGCTACATCCTACTGATGGAAAGCTCAATACATTCCTCTTTTACTTTATGTATTGGAGCTACAGGCTGAAAATAGAGTGCAGTAATTAGAAGCAAAGATGCAAATGTGACCTTTCCCATGAAAAGGTGTAACCACAGTGACAGTTAACTAGCCAAGATGAAGCAACTGAAGCAGGAGCTCCCATTCTGTACCTCATTACAGTCTTGCTGATGCTCCTATAAACGCAACTGCAAGACTTAGAAATTTGCATTTTTTTTCCTGCTCACCAAACATTCTGTTTAAAATGAAATAAAGGTAAAAGTACTAAAATCCAAGTGCTAATATACGGAAGGTTGCACCTTGGACAGATTCCCCCCCCACACCCCTTGAGTTATATCTTCATTAGAGAAAACTGTGCACTAAACAGAGAAGGCATGCAAAGTCCTTAGATGGAAGATGCATATACTGTATGGTATGTTTATTTTTGTTTTTCTCACGTAGCATTTTCCTTTCCACAAGAATATCCACAAGAAAATAATGAAATAAAAATGTGAAATCTACATGGACTTTGCAGGAAAGTTCAACGAACAACAGGACAGAATCTAGCCTGTTGCCCATTGCTTACTTGACAAAATCCTTACTTGAGTTGTTTGGTATTCCAACCCCCACTCCCACCCTGGGGAGTATCTTCCCAAAGATAAGGGGGGAAAAAGACATCAAAATAATCTTCCTTATGGGCTTTCCACAGACAGGCACAGAAGAGGGATTTGGTAGATTGAGACCCCCAGACTATATCGTAGAGCCAGTGGAGAAAAAATAACATTTCAAAGCTAAGGATGAAAGGTTCAGGTAAAGGATTGTGCCATTTGTCAGCCAGGAAGTTTTGCCCGAGGCTGGTTTGCCCAGGCATCCTTTACCAAGTGATGAATTCAACGTGTGATAAGACATCACAGATCTTACAGCATGGAAAGAGCTTTCACATGTTCTCACAATTGCATTCAGTAACAGGGTATAGGTAGAAGGAGTAATAGGGAATAGGTAGAACTCCATGTGGCGGCTGAAGGTCAGAAAGCCATCTTGGCAGGCTGGGACAGAGGCACAGAGATGCCTTGGAAAGCCAGTGCTGCACTGCTGGGGAAACAAGACCCCCTTGAATTGTGAATGCTGTAAACTCTGCATTCCCTCCCTTGAGGGACAGTCTCTGCCACATCTTAATTCCCTACAGAAGCATGACCCTGAGTGAGTGCATAGAACTCCCCTGGAATCTTGCTACTTCTCGGCAGAGATTGGGGGTGGCATAGAACCTTTGCAATATTACGCATGTGAGCCAGCCTGTAGTCTCCAAAGCGCAGAACGAAATGTTATGGCAGACACAAGCGTACTTTCAAAACAGCAGCACTGTGTGACATTATCATGCTGTAATCCTCCCTGGGTCCACTCCACTGGCTGCAGCTTTGTGAGATAGGGAAACATAATATCATGTATTGAGTATCCCTTGATTTTCAAGAGGAGAACAAGACACAACATTGCCATTTTTTTGTGGCAGTCCTCTGTCATTCATAATATATAATTCCTCTCTAAGCTTGCCTCCTTATGGACACTTGTATCTAAACACAGCACATGAATTTCACTGTTAAGAGAATAGTATCGGTTTAGTAGCAACTCATTGCTCATAAATGCTTTCATTATTTAATTTTAGCACTATAAACACTACTGAAATCTTACATTATAAGTAACAGTTCAATTCCCCAAAATGATGCTTCATTTACAGTAGCAAGTATGAACTACAAGCACATTTCAGGTGGAAGAAGTGGAACCATGATCCAAAGAAAGACTACTATCCAGGATATGTTGACAGCATTTAAGAGAAATGTAGTATTAGGCAGTAAATGGAAGATTACCTTTTAGTATTAAGAAAGATCACTTGTCACTAGCAGTCAATTACATCATCATTGATAACAAATCAATGTAAGAAAGCAAAACCTCCTAACATCTCAAGAGCTAACCTAATTTGTAAAAAAATGTTCTCTATACCATAGCTAGTGGAAGAAAACATTTGATATAGTTTTCCTTATGATTTGTCACACAACATTTTCAAAATGATTTCCCCAGTGCTAGGGGGGAAATTGAACCAACTATATCTGCCATGTGCAAAGTCTCTGTAGAGATTCTGGTAAAATGTTTTTATATGGCACAACAAGTATCTCAGGTTACGAGTGCAAAGGAAAATGTTCAAAAATGATATGTGAGAGACTTGGGCAGTGTCCTGGCCCCAGGGAGCTGGAAGAGCCATAAGATGTCCCCCATGGGATGTCCCTCGCAGTGTGCAGTGTCTGTACTGGCCATAAAAAAAACAACAACAATGGGAGGTCAGAGGATGTGACACAAATCATTTCAGTTGCAGCTCTATTTCCAAAACAGCACATTGGAGGCATTCGCACAAAACCTCCCAACATAAAGGGGAATTACTGAGGGTTATAGACAGTTTAACAAAGACTTGCCCTGTTTTGGCTGCGCTGCTCTCAGTGCCCTGTTGTTTAGGTCTCAGAAACTTGTTTTTATATTTCTACAAGAAACTTACCCCATCTGGTCGGCCATCTGAGGCTGTAACAATCAAAATGTAGCGATCGGTGCTTTCTCTGTCTAAAGGCTTTCCTAAGGCTAGAAGTCCAGATCTAGCAATAAAACAAACATGTATGTTACATAAAAATATGGCTCCTAAAAATTGACAAGCACTATATATATATATATGCCGCTGGGTTGGTTGCATTAGTGAATACTTCTCATTGTGATCCAAAGCAAAGCAAAAAGTGATTTTTTAAAAAAACATTCAAGTTTTCCTCTGAAAAAAATGCAGACAAGTACTTTCTAGTTTGTTTTCACATTAAAAAATAAAACAAACCACAAACCGCTAAGTGCTAGGAATAGACCAAAATTATTCTCATGGAGGAAGTTACAAGGCAAGTATGTTTTTTTCATTAACTTCTGCTGATGCAGAAGATCAGAACTCTCAATTCAGGGACATCTTTATTATACCATTTTGAGTAAACTATATTCTTTCCTTATAGCTTACCTAATTTGGCAATATAAGCAGCAAAACAATTGTGGCTTTCACACACAACCAGTCACAATAGAAATCTGAATTCATGACCAACTCTTCAGGCAAAAGGTTCACAGCAGACAATGGATGTGAACAATCCACTTTCTCTGTGCAGCTACATACTGAGTTATTTGTATTACTGGCTAGCAAACATTTCCACATGGTGCTATACGTGGAGAAAGGGTTTCCCTATTCCCATATTTCCATTTTGCTCAACCCCTATCTGCAGAAGATATGAGAAACTGGCACAGCATGGGAAAACCGTAATTGGTTCTTTAAGAGCTATCTGACACTGATGTGCCATGCCAGAATGGCCTTTGGAGGTGGAAAGCATGTCCAGTTACTTCCAACTTCATTTTAGCTTTTAAAGGACGCCCCTGGACATGGGATTGTATTTCAAGCCTCTCCGATCTGCTTGATCATTCGAGAAGTGATCGGTTGTGGCATCCAAATATTAGAATTAAGTATTTTGTTTTTCTCCATTCCTGTTTTGTATTCAATGGCTCCCATTAACCTAGGATCATCTGAGTTCAATGGAAGCAGAGACAAACTGCTCTACATCAGTCAGTTCTAAGGCATGTATATGCTGCAGCACCATTTCACCACCAAATTTCTTCCAATTCTAAAAGCTTGCATACATAACATAGATCTGCCCTTCTGTCCCAGGAACATCAAAGTGCAACGGAGATGCCATTTGGGCTCCTACAACATGACCTGGCTCTTCTGACGATACCACTCAACAGCTGCCATCTCCTAAAGGGAGCACTGGCCCTAGATTACCAACAGGGCATTTTAAAACTCTTTTATTCTGAAATCAGAAGAAACCCTTGAAATGAGAAGAGCAGTGCTGTGTTTATATTTTATTTCTATTTTTTGCTGTTAATTAGGTGCTAGTTAATTAATCAGTAATACAGTGGTACCTCAGTTTAAGAACAGTCCGGTTTATGAATGATTCGGTTTACAAACTCCACGAAACTGGAAATAAGTGTCTTCATTTGACAACTTTACCTCGGTCTAAGAATGGAATCTGAACAGTGGAAGGGCACTGGTGGTGGGAGGCCTCATTAGGGAAAGCGTGCCTCGGTTTAAGAATGGTTTTGGTTTAAGATCGGATTTCCGGAATGGATTAAGTTCGTAAACTGAGGTACCACTGTACCAGAGTTACAATATTAGACCTACAGGAGGACTAATCAGGGAAGGGCTGCTTGGTACTATCCTACCCCTACCTGGTCTGGTTTTCCTAGCCAATAAGAGTGGGTAGGTTTTTGGGGTTGTTTTTTTTGTCCTGTAAGATACCTGCCTGCAGGTAAGGTGCTGATTGCAGTGTGGGGTATTGTTTGATTCCTGGCTGAGTAGATAGAGCTGGGGTCTGAGTGTGCCTCCAGAGCCTGCCTCAGTATAGACTCTGCCATAGGTCACCCTTGAAATGGCCACATCAAGGGGGTCCCATATATTGACTGATGATTTTCCCTTGCCCCACCCCATAGGCCAGGTACTGTGGGTGACAGACAGGCCTGTGACCGTTATCCAAGGTAAAAGATTGTGCTCTCGCAAAGTTTGGTTTGGTAGGGTTTCTTCTGAGGGAGACAGAGGAAACAGAGTGTTATAGTGGTTATTACCTTTGGCCTGACAGTGCACGATGCTCCTACTACTAGGCCTTAGCATATCATCCATGAACTTAATTTCCCAATTGCATGTAGTGATGGCATATGATGGTGCTACAATGTGCCTAGGTAGGCAAGGAAGCAGGAAGTTGTGAAGATGTGCCCCCAATATCAGTGGTAGTGGGCAGGCAAAGGTGCAGCTGGATCGGAGGGGCTGAGCATCATATCAGGGAAGACCTAGATGTTTGGCTCCTGTTCCTGATTTTAGCCCTGCCACTTCTCTGGTAGCTTTTCAGCACCTGCTTCAAACATTTTTGTTCAGTCAAGCCCCTTCATGCCTTACTGATTTCTTTAAAGTTTTTAATGACTTGTTTTGATTGGCATTAAAATTATTTCATGTAAAATATAAACAAAACACTTAGAGGTTTCATTACAATCAAGTTGTTTAGAGATTTTGTTAAATAAATAAAATGGATTAAGTAGTTATGTTGGTTCATATCAGAAATGGAGTACTTCTGTTTTCTTACAGCTCACTAGAGAGAACCTGTCAAAATATTATACTGCATGTTCTGAACATGGATGCTCTGCAGAGCATCTCTGCTATACTTGCTTCTAGGGACTGCATGAATAACTACTGTATGTATTCAAATGCAAATATTGCCCATTACTTTCATTGGAATAACCTGGAAATATGAATGCCTTTTGTAACTTTTAATGAGTGCACACAGAAAAGCATATTATAAAGTAGTGCTAGCTGGAAGTTAGTTGGCCCAGACATTTTGATAGAGGGGTGGAGAGGGGGTGGCATTTTGGTTAAATTTTCTGAGGTTGCAGAGAAAGAAATTTCTAGCGTTTTTCAGGGAAAGAGTTTCCCATGATAGATATAAGACAGAAAGCTACAGTCACTCATTTTTAAAATATCTAGTAAAAAAAAAAAAAAGCTGGCCATGGAGGCAGACATCTTTCCTTTTGTAAAGTAAGTCAAAAACAAAATACCCCTGGGTAATTCCTACTGGACTATTTTGTCAATGAGAAATGCTGTCAGGATGCTACTGCTTAGAGCAGCTCCTTTATCTCTTGAAGAAATCTTTTTTGCCAGTTAAGTGAGAGGCATTTTCAGCCCAGTCTCATTCAAAAGTAGATGCTGCCCTCAACTTTTGATGGTTTATGCATTTGCAAACCTCCAGCTACCAGGTGCAACAGTTTCCACAGCCAGACCCCAATATGTATATGTATTTTCCCCTACAATGGAAAGTAAATTGCATAGAAATACAGTGGTACCCCGCAAGACGAACGCCTCGCAAGACGGAAAACCCGCTAGACGAAAGGGTTTTCCGTTTTGGAGGCGCTTCGCAAAACGAATTTCCCTATGGGCTTCCTTCGCAAGACGAAAGCCCATAGGGAAATCTCCGGGACAGCGGGGAAGCGCAGCGCGTCTTGCCCACTGTCCTCGGACCTCCTCCCGCCGCCAGGCTTCGGAAGGCTGCTCCGAAGCCTGGCGGGGGGCGGAGAGGTTTTTTAAAAACCCCGGGACAGCGGGGGACTTCTCCGCTGTCCGGGGCGATTTTAAAATGCTGGCGGGCGGCAGCGCTGCCGCCCAGCAGCATTTAAAAAAAACCGGGACAGCGGGGGACTTCTCCTTTGTCCCGAGGTTTTTTAAAATGCTGGCGGGCGGCAACGAAGGCTTCGCTGCCGCCCGCCAGCATTTTAAAATCGCCCCGGACAGCGGAGAAGTCCCCCACTGTCCCGAGGTTTTTTAAAATGCTGGCGTCTTCCCCTTTCTCCCCGGACCTCTTTTGAAGCAAGGGGCGGCAACGGGGAGAAGCGATCTTCTCCCCGCTGCCCCTTGCTTCAAAAGAGGGGCGCCTTCCCCTCTCTCCCCGGACCCCTTTTGAAGCAAGGGGCGGCAACGGGGAGAAGCGATCTTCTCCCCTCCGCCCCTTGCTTCAAAAGAGGGGACAGAGGGGAAGGCGCGCCTTCCCCTCTGTCCCCGGAGATTGTGGGGCAGGCAACGGGGAGAAGCAATCTTCTCCCCGCTGCCCCTTGCTTTAAAAGAGGGGACAGAGGGGAAGGCGCGCGCCTTCCCCTCTGTCCCCGGAGATTGCGGGGCAGGCAACGGGGAGAAGCAATCTTCTCCCCGCTGCCCCTTGCTTTAAAACAGGTCCGGGGACAGAGGGGAAGGCGCGCGGCGCTTCCCCACTGTCCCCGACGGTCTCCTTAGGAACGCATTGATTGATTTTCAATGCATTCCTATGGGAAACCGTGCTTCGCAAGATGAAAAACTCGCAAGAAGAAAAAACTTGCGGAACGAATTAATTTCATCTTGCGATGCACCACTGTAACAGAAAACAGGTTCAGGATAATAATCTGCAGTGGCAGAAGCATACCATCAACCTGAGGAGTGGAAAAGTTCCTAGATTATTGCAGCGTCCTCTGTTTTTAGAATGTTGCTTATACCCGCATTCACACTGGTGAACAAATGTCTTAGTACATGAGCTTTGAGAACATAATGATAAGACTCTTGCTTGCTCTTTTCCTAATTTCTGAGAGGGGAAAACCTTCCCTCAATATATCCTTCTTTCTCCATTTACTGCAATTAATATTCAAGCAAATAATAGCTTTGCAAATGACAGGACCTTAAAGGAAAGGTTTTCACTTTTTCTGGTACATATGCTTTCAGTGTTCCAGGGCTTTTCTTTTCACTAATTAAGGTGGCATCCATTTAGGAAGAATGCTAAAAGCTTTCTCAGTTAGTAATGCCTGGAATGTCTGGTGCTGAATTTAGACAATGGGCCCAAAAGGTCTTCCTTTTCATTACAGTACATTTCATTTTTCCAGACAAGAAATGGTAAGTAAAAAAAAAGAAAGTCACTGTCATTAGGAGAAACCTGGCAAGTCTAAAGGCTTCTAATTAATCCCAGGTCACTCATATAATGGAAGTTTCCATCTCAGTGGGTTTTACCTAGTCAAACATTTAAAATAAATAAATGGTCTCGGGTGTACAATTTCAAAGTTCAGTACCATTCACAGAGCTCCCATTAGTGTCTGAGAGCTCAACTTCAAACAGCTGAATACCTCCGATTAGAAGCTGTGTTATTTGCACACAATCTGCATATTCATTTGGGCTGGGAAGTTGAAAATTCAGCCATAAGGGTTATTCTACTTACGTTCGAGAAAGGTTAAATACTTGCTGAGGATCTCCATTCTGTATGACGTATGTTATGGGGTCACCCTCTCGATCAGTTGCCTTCAGAAGAACAACAGAGAAAAAGTGACATGTTACAGATTGCAATGGCTTCTTTTTTTAAATTAGGAATTTTTAAAAAAACAAAAACAAAGAACAAATCCTGAGTCGTGATGGGCAACACATTTTAAATGCTAATCAACTCATTCATAACAATTAAACATTTGACAGCTTTAACTCTAGATCAACTGATTGTATGTGTTTGTCCCCCTCTAGAGAGTGTCTGCATTTTGGCTTCATGGAGAGTGTGCTCTCATAAGCATGGTAATTGCTTATTGGAATTTCAGGAAATTAGAGTATTTGCATACTTAAGCTTTAATCAACAATGACTGACAGAACGAGAGGTAATAAAGAGGTTTTCGGCGGGCAGTAAATTCTCCAGCTAATTTTCAAAATAACTCAGTAGGGATTATTTATTACTGCATTCCTTAAAACAAATATGATAGCTCCATTTAAATATTGCACCTATTTGGGCCCTTCTCAAAATATGCAGTATTAAAAATTATACTGGACAATAATCAGTTTGAAAAGAAAGAAGAGATTATTAGACAATAACATTAATAAAACAGATCCAGGTGGTATTGAAGACTGATTTTCTAAATCCATTTCAATTAGGGTTTTGGCCTGTCTTTGGCACAGAAAAGGCCCTGGTTGCCTTATATAATAACCTCTGCTGGGAGAGAGACAGGGCAATACGTCCCTGTTAATCCTCCCTGACCTCTCAGCATCTTTCAATACCATCAACCACTATACCCTCTTGGAGAGGCTATCTGAAGGGGGCGGCAGCACTGCTTTGCAGTAGTTCCAGTCCTATTTGGATGGTCATTTTCAGCAGGTGATACTGGGGGACTGTTTTTCAGCACAACTGAGCTTTCACTGTGGGATTCCTCAGGGCAGAGGAAGTTGTATCTGATTTAAGAATATAATACACAATCCAGTTCTGAAGTTAAGCATTATAATACACAATCCAGTTCTGAAGTTAAGCATGTGCTTAACTATCACCCATTTAAATCAATGGGATAGAGCAGTGCTTAACTTTGGCTGTATTTCTAAGTATAAAAAAGAAATGTTTTGGTTCCACAGTTGTTTAAAAATAACAACAAATAAATAAGAACACAGTGGTTCTCCTCAACCCCCAAACGTCCAAACTTATTTTTTAATTTCAGGTGTCAAATCTCTGTAAAATTATAAATGTACACCTCATATGTATTACTTTTATGGAGCAGGAAGCTTAAAAACACTGTGTAACATTATCTACTATTGCATACGTATTAACATTTCACACCTTTAAACAGCTGCAAATGAAGATCCTAAACATCTGTATGAGAAAAGCTGTTATGTTGAATGAATGAATTTCATTGAAGACAAATTAGAGCAACAATTTTCAGAAGTTTAGCAAGGATTCCTCAATGAAAAAATATCTATAATGATGGGCAAACTACTCTAAAAATCCACTAGTCCATCGCTGTTGTCTGCTACAAAATGGAGCCAAAGGAGACTGGCTGTGTTTCAGGAGACACTTTCAAATCCATGATGGACAACAATAAGATCCAAGAAGACCAACCAACACTTTACGTGAAGTGAACATGCACCTCAGAAGTGTCTGAGATGTACATACAGAGGTTTCTCAGCAGGCAAACCAATAAGGAAAGGGTTAAATGGCAGCAGAAAACCCATACTATAGAGCAGGGTCCCAAACTGGGTCTCCAGCTGTTTTTGGACTACAATTCCCATCATTCCTGACCACTGGTCCTGCTAGCTAGGAGTGATGGGAATCATAGTCCAAAAACAACTGGAGACCCAAGTTTGGGAAACCCATGTTATAAAGCAATGATGGAGAACTTGTGACCCTGCAGCCATTGTTGGAGTAGAACTCCCATCAACCCTAAGCATTAGCTGCATTGTCTGGGGCTGATGGGAGTTGAAGACCATCACTTGTAGGGCCACAGATTCACTACGCCGCCCCCCCCCCGTGCTATAAAGTAATATTTGTCCAGAACAGACCCTGAAAACAGCAAAAGTAGCTAGGATCAAGACCATCACATCCATAAGCAGAAAGAGTTCTGTAAATGCTTACATTGAAGCATTCTGTACCTGCAAATTAAGCAAAATGGCACCAATTCTCATGGCCTCACTAAGTTCAAGACTGTACATCTGCTGGGGAAAGCGGGGTGGGCTCTGATTATTTGGAGGAAGAACCTCAATGTAAACAGTAGTGATGGAGCTCCTGCAAAGACAATGGAACAAACAAAACCCAGTCAAAATCTTTATTATTATGATTATTATGATTGGAATTTTTTTTACACCACACTGCACAATTTGGTAATAAGCACTCAACATTTCTTCTGAACCTTTGGGTTACATCCCTGCAATTCTTTGCATCTGATGCATCTGACACAAGGTGTTAACAGGGCAGAAAGATTAGTGTTTAATTACATTTTAATTATTGTATTTTCTATGTTTTTAGCTTGCTCTGCTTTATCTGTGTAAGCTACCTTGAGTCGTGGACTAGGAAAAAGGAAGGCTAAAAATAATTTTAATCATAATCATTATAAAGAATATTCAAAAATTATTTCCTTTTTATACTGGTCACTTTAGTTGATTTCACTTCATGGTTTTTCTTTCCTTTTTTCTATTGGGTGGGGTGAATAAACATCTAACTGATCTAAAGGATTAAAAAGGTAAAGGGACCCCTGACCATTAGGTCCAGGCGTAACCGGCTCTGGGGTTGCGGCGCTCATCTCACTTTATTGGCCGAGGGAGCCTGAGTACAGCTTCCAGGTCATGTGGCCAGCATGACTAAGCTGCTTCTGGCGAACCAGAGCAGCGCACGGAAACGCCCACCGGAGCAGTACCTATTTATCTACTTGCACTTTGACGTGCTTTCGAACTGCTAGGTGGGCAGGAGCAGGGACCAAGCAACGGGAGCTCACCCCGTCACGGGGATTTGAACTGCCGACCTTCTGATCGGCAAGTCCTAGGCTCTGTGGTTTAATCCACAGCGCCATCCACGTCCCTATAGATCTAAAGGATTAAGAAGCTATTAATTATGCATAAATAAATAGGCTATTTAGATCTCTGGAGTGATAGGGAGAAAAAAGGTACTGAAAAGGATAAACCAAGAACTCTGGCCACAAGTTTCAATGTAAGGATTAATTACTACTCAAGAGTTGAAAAGAAAAAAACGTGTATATTCTGCAAAGAATGACAGTTTAAAGCTAATAGTAAATTTAAACACAACGTGTGAGTACAATGGTTTTAAGATAATAATAAATTTAGATATTAGTATGCAATAATATAGTATAAAGGTACATAAAATACCAGTACACAACAATAGTTTTATACAAGTCTCAATGGTAGTCAAAAAGAGTCCATATTATATAAACTCAGAATAAAGAATAAAGAGCCAAAAAGGAGTATCCGGAGTATGAATCAGATGTACGACTCAGTAGTGGTGACCAGGACAGGGCCCTGTTTCGGAGTAAACGCCTTCTTCAGCTGGTAATATCAAATAATATGTCAAAATAAATCAAGGTTCTTCAATTCCATAGATCATAAATATAATAAAGTATATACATTCTAAAGTGAATGTATATACTTTATATATATATAATATCTTTTATGAAAGACAGTGGCGTAGCGTGGGGGGTGCAGGGGGGGCCGGCCGCACCGGGCGCAACATCTGGGGTTAGGGCAAATCCATGGGTTAGGGGGCGCAAATCCACAGGTTAGGGGGCGCAACTCCACGGGTTAGGGGGCGCAAATTACTTGCCTTGCCCCGGGTGCTGACAACCCACGCTACGCCACTGATGAAAGAACTATATGATATGATATAGACTTCCAACAGATTTATAGTCCTCAAAAAACCGAGGTATGGAACCAAATATCATGATATGTGCTAATTCACTTTAGAATGTATATACTTTATTATATTATATTTATGATCTATGGAATTGAAGAACCTTGATTTATTTTGACATATTATTTGATATTACCAGCTGAAGAAGGCGTTTACTCCGAAACAGGGCCCTGTCCTGGTCACCACTACTGAGTCGTACATCTGATTCATACTCCGGATACTCCTTTTTGGCTCTTTATTCTTTATTCTGAGTTTATATAATATGGACTCTTTTTGACTACCATTGAGACTTGTATAAAACTATTGTTGTGTACTGGTATTTTATGTACCTTTATACTATATTATTGCATACTAATATCTAAATTTATTATTATCTTAAAACCATTGTACTCACACGTTGTGTTTAAATTCATTCTTTGCAGAATATACACGTTTTTTTCTTTTCAACTCTTGAGTAGTAATTAATCCTTACATTGAAACTTGTGGCCAGAGTTCTTGGTTTATCCTTTTCAGTGCATTTTCCACAAGGGAGAAAAAAGGTGACTTGAAAATTCCTTTCATCTGACCAACTTGGTAGAAACACTTTTGTTTTGTTTTTAAAGAAAACCATGAATATTTTCTTAAGGCTAGAAAAGAATAGTATGGGTGACACGATGCCTTAGAGTGCCGTGCTGAATATTGAAATTTGCTTCTTAAATGGCATCAACAAAAAACAAAACAGATAAAGTATAGTCTTATAAATGCAGGGATGGAAAAAGTAAAGCCTGAAGGATGTGTGTACCACACTCAGTGAATTTGTCATAGTCTATGAATTTATTATAGAACCCGGAGGGCAATGACTTTCATTTAAATCTTCTGGCCCTTGCATTTGCAACGATACATTAGAAAATGTGATGGCAACAATATTAAATGACTGGGAACAGCAGCAGCAATAACATCAAAATAAGCTAAGAGTTAAGTTTAAATGCCTGTGGATTTTGAGCCTATATACCACAACTTCCCAATGATAATGCAGAGTTCTTCACATTTAAATGCAACTGTAGGTCTGAACAGATGATAGCTTTTAGCAAATACTGTATACTAAACACATGGACGGGGAAATGGGCCTGCACTTGTGAGTCCCATTCCCTATGTCCACCGGCTCTGCCACCAACGTTAACACATTCAGTGGACCATCAGAAAGGATAGCCTATGCATATATACTTGTACGTGCCTCAGTTCTCCACCCAAACAGGTCAATGGCTTACGTATCTTGGCTCTCCTTTCTGGTGGCTGTTGAAGGTGGTGACATCCACAGTCCTACTCCTGCCTCCACCCATAAGCCATACAGGACTAATGACCAAACATCCCTACAGTTGCAATTAAAGAGTGAAGAAGTTCTCCATAGGGTGAATAGTTTGGTTTTGCCCACTTAGGGGCTATTTTGGTGATATTTCACCTCTATGCCTGATGGTATTTAGAATGGTTCTTTGTCTCACCTGGTTCTTCCCATCCTTCTCCCTAAATATGAAAGGTAACATTCAAACCAGGAGGAGAGAAAGTTCCTCTCCTGCCTCTCGCACTGCATGGAGAGGTGAAGGGCGGGAGCGAAGTGTCACCCAAATAGGGCATGGAAAGGTTTAGGAGTATCTGTTTTAGTCTGTTGTGTTTTATTTTTATTTGTCTTACAACTGAGTGGCCAAACTTCCTTAACTGGTCTCTATTTGTTTCTCCAGCTTTGCTTTTCTGAACTTTTGTGGTGCCAAGATGTGGCCAATTCATATCTTTTTGCCAACACAGTGGTAACCTTGGCATATACATTCCCAGAAACATGTAATACACATTCCAGAATGGATTGGGCTGACAACGAAATCTCATTTAATTTCAAAATGGATCTGACCTCACTTAAAATACACACATTGCCCGGTTATGTGTAATGTCTCCCCTCAGGTACATACACTGTCACATTTAAGGTGGGGAAACACCTGCAAATTATGACATGCAAATCAGGCTTAAGGCCTCTCAGCTATTCTAATCAAACCTGAAGTGTTCTGTGAGTTAAAATCAACCTTTGTTTTGTTTTGCTTCTGCCAAGTTGGTATGAGAAAATCGTCTCTTTCTACTCTACGCTTCCCAGATCTAACAAGTAGGAGATTAGAAACTGAATGACTTTGCTAGTGCAAATGTAGGTTTCCATGGAGTGTATTTCATTGCTTGTCCGGTGTTTGCACAGCTTGCAATTTGTGCTCCAAATTGAGCTGAGGCACACTATAAGATTGTATCATCTGGATAAAAGGTTACCTCCAGCTCAGCGATCCTTTCATTCCAGGACATTTGGAGATACTACCTTTGCATGATAGTTGGCAATTTACAGAACAGACAACTACTTTTGCCTTCATTGCTTTGCTTTCTCTCCTCTTTTCTCTCATTCTCACTTTCTTAAACAAGCACACACTACAAATATGGATGGAGCAAACTTAACATACTAGATTTTACTATAATAATGCTACTGCTACTACTAATGCTACTACTACTAATGCCCAATCAACATATTACGGTGCATATATCTGTGTGCCGGATATATACTAATTTCATGAATGAGCCACAACAGTTCAGATATAATGGCTTCTTTTGAATAGGATGCTTAGCAAACAACCGACTGAAGTGCCTTTTCTAAAGAAACCAAATCACGGGCGTCATGTTTCTTTGATGACTGATCCTTTACACCTTCTACTCATTATAGTGCAGAAAGGTTAATTTCTCAGCTATGGCGAAAAATATTTAATTATAATATTAATTACCTTCTCTGTGCAAGAGGAGCACTGTCAGATGCTTTGACAGTGAGGGCATAGGAACGTCCTACCACCAATTCAATTCCTGGAGCAATAGTGATAAGGCCCGTTTGATCATTGATCACAAAGTCTCCCGGATCTCCGGCCAGGATTTCATATGTGATCCGCCCATTTGAACCTTCATCGGCATCCATGGCAGTGAGCTGCAATTGAAAATTAGAATTTAATTTTTGTTTCCCCTTAGGGTTGCTGCTTGAATGACAGGAAACCCAATTTCAATTGCTGTCAAAATAAAGAGATTATTTTCTGTGTGAGGCATCAAACAATCATGAATGAAATATGGACACCCTGCGATATAGGATGAAGCAGAAAGTACATTATAGAATGCATGAACAGCAGCAGCAGCAGCAGGTCACTTAACCCAAGATGTTCCAGAGCATCTTCGGGTGCCGGTGTGGTGGACCTGAGACACTTCCCTGACCTCCTGGCAGGAAAGTTGCTGCTACTTAGTGAGAGTGACAGGGGGGTGAGTGAGGCAGCAGGGAGGGTAGAGGGGTGCAAACACAGGAGCAGGAGGGCCAAATTAGCTCCACGGGTGCATTTGCACCACACTGACCTTTCCCCTCCCAGAAACAGCTGGGAGGTCATCTGCTGGAAGGTCATGCAAGAACCTCCATCCCACCACACAGTCCACTATTGTTGTACACCTATCTCTAAAATTGTGCAGAAGGGAGTCAGTTTCACCCTTCTCTTCCACTTCTGAGCCTCCCTAATTTCAGTTCTGAACCAGACAGAGACATGACACCTACAAAAATACTGATCTATCAGGCTGCATACTGATGTACTTGAAAATAGAAAGGCTGTTTGCTGACAGCGAGATGTGCTTTCACCTGCCTTTATTCCTGAATTGAGACATATATACAGCATATCAATCTATTCCTGACGGCTTCTTTCTGAACACTCCTCATGCTTCATGCAGGATGTCTGCTTTTTATTTCATTTTCAAAGCAACTGGTATAATTATCAAATTACAGATGTGCTTGGAAGGCACTTTTTAAAAACACCCCCCTTAAAACACACACACACACTCCTTCAACAAAGCACGGGGAAAGGAGGTGGCCCCATAACTAATACAATGATTGTTAGCATTATTCACAGGCTTGGTGAGAAGGGTAGGTGGCTTTATGACTGACACAGGAGCTGGCCAATAAGTCCTCCTTTTCAAATAATAAAGATGGCTTTCTCCTAAGCCCACTTTGAGTAAGAAGACTGTATGTATGACATGACTTGTTGAGTTTGGTTCCAAACTGGGCTCTTCAGTTCACGTTTGTCTGTCTGTTTGTTCCTATCATGACCAGCTTCTTGAAAAACTATTACATAATCCCATTTACTTAGATCTCCGATAGGTATTTCTACATACTGGCCAAGTGTACAAGGTTTAGTGAGCCCCACACTGTATGAGCAACAGCAGCCGCCGCCTTTTCCTTGCAGATAACACAGGAAGGGAGAGACACACAGCCCCCTTCGTGCACTGAATGTAAGCAATACAATGTAACCCCCCCACACACAACAACCCTGTGAGGTAGGTTTGGTTGACTGGTTCAGAGTCACTCAGTTGGCTTAATGGATGAATGGTGATTTGATGCCTGGTCTCACAGGCACTTTAAAACACTACACTACACTGGCTGCTTTAAAGCTATCCAAGTTGATGGACATCACATATTGTGGGAGAAAATCCCACAGCTTAACTATATAATTGTATCGCACCATTAGAACGGATTTTTACCATTTGAATAGATCCGCAGAGTGTTAAAGCACTGAAGTCAACTATTTGTTTCATTTTTATTGCTGAAAAGGAAATCTCTCAATTCATATATTCCTTTAATCATTTAGAAATTTCCCTGCAAAACTGCTCATAGTTGTTGACCTCATAAACGAATGTCCCTAATAAAGGTTGATGGCAGCTTTAAAAAGTGTTATAATAACCTTCTCTAGATCAGCAGTAAAGGGGTTGGGGAAAAGATAAATAAGAGCTTCACGCAAAATGCAAGTCCTAACCATTTAATTACATACTTGGAGCCCAGCCAAGTTTTAGTGCGACAACACGAAAATGAAAACTGGTAGAATACACAAATACATAAATTAACAAGGTTAATTAAATTTACAAATGAAGGTGCTTTGAAATGCTAAGTCATCTGAATAACATTTTGGGGGCAAAAAGATGCCTGAAAGGGAGAATTAAAGTCAAAGAACTGTCACAGCACTCTATGATTTTGGAAATTCAAATTGCAGGTGGTTTTGGCTGATAGACTCCATAGTTTAGGTGTTTTGGGATGGGGGGGATTAACATCTAAAAGAGACTGAAAAAGGGATCCATTCTGCTCTTCCTATATATCTTCTTCATGCAGTAGCAGCAATTTTGTTCCATTTAAAATGTGCAGTGCTCACAAGCTGACAATGATAAATATGTTCTGTTAATGCTGAGGCAAAGACGTGATTCTCATTATGCAAATAGGAAGCTATAAGAAACCTTCATAGCATTGTGCCTTAACAATGCCATGTTGCTTTATTGGGATGCCAGTTCTGATCTGTTGCAATCATTTTGAACAAGGATTAGTTTAGTGGGACAAAACCCTTTTCAACCAGTGATGTTTTCCACCAATATTTGGAAAAGCTAATAAGACACTCTGACTCCAGTCTGTCATGAACTAAAAGTTCAGGCAAATTGGTCTGACTCCCAAATGCCTAATGTGATTACTTCCTGCTGATCTAAACTGAAACCTGCAGTTGTCGTGTTCCAAAAGGCTTTGCCTGCCTTCCAACCACCACCACACATGGAAATAGTGTTCCAGGCAAACAAACCCACTTCCCCAAAGTCATACACAATTAACATAAATTTATTCCAGCTACTCCTACAGTGTTATGAAAATTACCATGTGGCACTGCAGCTGACACCTCTGGATTAATAAGCAAAACTCAGCCAGCCCACTGAATATGGGAGTTTTGTTTGTTCTCAGCCTCAACAATGTAATCCATTTACCAAGAGCTACAGTTTAAAAAGCTGGATATGAAAGTTTGGGGAAATGACATTGAAAGTTCCATGGAGGTGTGTCACCAGATAGTCACATCAAGTAATTATAACCAAATCTTGAAAAAAGCTACATTCGTGCATAATAATTCAGCTTTTAGCCTATTCCCTCCCAGCTGGTCATTTCTAACTTTGATTCATAAAAAATCATCCTTAGCCACAAGCATTTTTTTTTAAAAAAAAAGCACTGAGAGATCTTTAAGCACTACTGTCAGCGGCTGCCTCAGGTCCCAGCGCACAAAGGACCAACGCCAGTTGCTCTTTATAAACAAAAGTCTTTATTGTGGTTCATTGTTGGTTTGACATCCGTGGCGCGCAGCGCTACGTCTGAGTCCTTAGACCGGCGAAGCTCCGTCTGAATCCGCCCCTCCTTTACACCAGTTCAAGACCCGAGCTTTGCTCCACCTCTTCCTATCCTCCCTCTGCTCCTTTCTCCTCCGGGTCCTCCTGTCCTCTGGGGTTCCAACCCTCCTGGACTCTTCGGAGGCAGATTCTTCTGACTCCTCCCCCTCTCTCCGGCGGGCTTTGGGACCTGGCTCCCAATCCGGATTTTCTGCTGTCCCGCGCGCCTCTACATTTGAACTTGGCGCGTGCGCCCAGCCGCCCACTTTCCTCCTAACAGCTACACTGCTCCCTTCACTGCTTTCTCCTTCAGGGAGGCTGGCCGGCCCTGCTCTCTCCTCCGCCCCTCCACTCTCTGACGGAGGCGTGGTCAGTCCTGCCTCCCTCTCTCCTCCTGCAGGAGGAGGCTTTTGTTCTAATCTGTGGGATTCTTCCCCCCCGCTGCGCTCTGGTGGGGAAGCTAGCCCTGATTTCCAGCTGCCGCTTGGCGACTCCCCACTGGCCCCCCTTGCCCTAACCCTGGGGGCCTCCTTCTGAGAATCTTCTGATTCGCTGGAGAGACTCAGGGAATCTCTCTGGTCACTGTCATACCCTCCTGCGCTCCCCTCAGATTGTTCCCCTTCGCTCTCCATCTCCTCCTTCTCCTGTGGCTCAGTCCCTGAGCCCCTGACAACTACAAAAACAATTCCCGAATGAACGTTATACACAGATGCAACTCTTTCCCCACACTTGGAAAATAACTTCAAGCATGACTATTGCATATCTCCTTCACAGATTTGCTTTCGAAAAATGTAAGTACATAAGAGAAAGGCAAATTCTACCTGACATTGTTTTGGTGTCTTCCATTTCATTTTATTTCCAACTGCATGCTGACCATAGACCTGAAGCCTATAATTAACAGTGGTACCTCGAACAGTCCTGTTTACAAATTATTCGGTTTACGAACTCTGCAAAACCAGAAGTAGTGTCCTAGTTTGCGAACTTTACCTTGGTCTAAGAACAGAATCATTTTTTTTAAAATAAAAAAAATGGAAGTAAATAAGGAGGTGGTGTGAAACAAGGTGAGGCGGTAGAAGGGTAGAAAAGTCAGAGGAGTTGTGGCAGAAAATCAGATACATCCAAGGACATATGAGGTGGCAGGGAAGTACTTATAATACACAGGATCTCAGGATCCATTCTCACTTCAAGAAAGATGAATCCATTTTAACTCCTTCTCCAGACAGAGGTCAGGCACAGGGGATGGATAAGGAGAAAATAATTATCTCCATATCCTGAGGACTGTGAAAGCACTGAACCGCACAAGTTTCAAAATTGCAGTTGCAAAGGTTACTGTTAAGGTAAGAGGGAGAAAGGGAAGAACCCAGGATTCAATTGGCTGTAACCAATCAATGAATAAATCAAACCCACCTACTTCTTCCCTGAACTCCGTCCTTGATTGTGTGCACTCGTTCTTCCATTCCACATGGGAAAGAGCCAACAATTTCAAATATGGAAAGCCAGTGATTGGGGTCTTGAGGTCAGGCAGGGCTGAGTTTAGCAGACCCAGTGACTGCTTGGGGCACTAGGTTCAGAAGGTGCTTGTCACAGGCTGTTTACTCAGAAATCCACTTTGGAGATAAATCAAACTGAAAAAAGTTCACCTTCGCTTGTAAAGCTGGCTCTGTGTGGCCAGTGGTGTGTTAAATTTTTATAGTTATTATTTGCAGGAAGATTTGCATCCGTAATCAGTCAGCAAGCCGTGTGTGGGACTGTGAGCGAAGCCACGTGTGCAAA